GAGCGGCTGGTAGTTTCGAACCGCTGACCTTGAGGTTTGCAGCCCGATTCGTAACCACTACGCTACCAGAGCTCCTTGAGAAGCTGGGTTAGATGAAGAAAAACATGGCATCAGGATTGGAGGAAGACTCATTAATAACCTGCAATATGCAGATGATACAACCTTGCTTGCTGAAAGTGAAGAGGAAGATCAAAGAGCACAGCCTTCAGTATGGATTACATCTCAATGTCAAGAAAACAAAAATCCTCACCACTGGACCAATAAACAACATTGTTATCAATGGAGAAAACATTGAAGTTGTCAAGGACTTCATTCTTCTTGGATCAACTATCAACACTAACAGAAGCAGCAGTCAAGAGATCAAATGACATTATTGCATTAGGCAAATCTGCTGCACAAGACCTTTTTAAAGTGTTGAAGAGCAAAGATGTCAGTTTGAGGACTAAGGTGCACCTGACCCAATAACCTCATATGCATGAGAAAGCTGCACAGGGTATAAGAAAGACTGTAGAAGAATCAATGCCTTTGAGTTATGGTGTTGGAGGAGAATATTGAAAGTGCCATGGGCTGCCTAAAGAACCAATAGATCCATTTTGGATAACTGACGCTGCTTCTCAGGAAGGATCCTCACCTAGGCTGCATGTGTGGCTTTTAGATCTTGACACTCTCTTTGTTGGAGTAATCTCTGTGTACACCCAAGCTTCTAGTCTAGTTTTCCATGGGCATGCTAGGACCAAACTGGAGGCATCATCAATTTTAACAGCTGTTGGAATCAGATCATTCAAACCAATGCCCTTTGCCACATCATTCCCCTGTGGCTGCTCGAAGTGGCTAAACGGGTTGCTTTTGAGCTGATTCTGACTCATAGCAACTCTTTGGACGAATAGAACTGCCCCTGTAGGGTTTCCAGGCTGTGATCTTGATGGGAGCAGCCAGCCACATCTTTCTCCCCTGGAGTGACTGGTGGGTTCAAACTACCTATCTTTTGGTTAACCACTGTGCCGTGATCAATTGTCAAGACTTCCCACATCTTAGTTCCCTTTTCCATGTCAGTGAGAGTGTGCCAGACTCCCAGGAACCAGAGAGCTGCTTTGTCTGCTACTTGCCCTTCTCCCCACTACAGCACAGACCATGCCTGTAGATCACCTTGGGAGGAACAGGGAACCACAGAATTTACATTAAATGTTGGCTCTTGTCACCTAAGGGATCTCGGGTAAGGTACCCAATTCTAGCTCATCTTTCCCTGTGAACTATGTCCTATGACCAGGGTACAGGCTTTGGAGTGATGAATGAGAACTGCCTGTCCTCAGAGGGATTCTCCCTGGTGTCCCTTAGCCATACCTTCCTCACCTGGAAACAAGAAAACCAGTCTTTCCCTTGCAGGACTGCACAAGGGCCTAAATGGGAGCATATAAGTAGGGTCCTGCTTGACTGTTCTCTTTCTTCTCATCTTTCAATTTTCTCCCAGGGTCAAGCTCTATATTTCTCCTTTGCCACTCAGTCCCCTGATCTCCCTTCTCCCCTCACTCTTTTGTCCTCCAGCTGGCAAAGCTTTACTGGGACTCTGGGCTCGCCCCATGCCAGACCATGCTGTTCCTGGTTGAGGCCTCTACTCTGCTCATCTGCTCTGGAACCAGGGACTGACCAGACCTCACACAAACCTAAACACTTGTCCTCCCCTGCCTTCCTCAGAGGCCAGCAGTGTACTAACAGGGGTTTGCAAGTAGCCGCAGACTGAAGTCTCAGCGAATCTACCCAGTCTTTCTCAGTGTAGCTGGAATTAGGAGGAAGAGAGCCACTTCTATAATCCTTTTCCTCCACATGACAAGAGTTGAGCTCACCCCAGGCCGTTGGACAAGTGGGACAGCCTGCCTCATATGCAGGTTTGTGGAAAACAAAACAAAGAAAGTCAAACAAAGTTGCCATTGAGAAGATTCTGGCTCATGGCCATCGCAAGTGTGCAAGGCAGAGCTGCTCATACAGTTTCCATGGCTGTGAACTTGTGAAAACGGATGGCCAGGCTTTTCTTCTGCGGCCTGCCAACCTCTTAGCTAGCCCAGTGCTTAATGATTTGTGCCACATGGGGACTTCTCAGATGAGCAGAGTGGAGAGTAAGATGAACTCTTTAGAGAAAGGAAGTCAGAAACTGGAAGAGAATAAATTATTTCAAGAACCTAGACCACCAAAAACGTGAAGTAACAAATTGACTTTAATTGATCTACAAATAAAAACAACAAAGAGCAGGTGAGTAACCTCTGTTGCTCCTAATCTGTTAAGAGCTGTATCTTGGAGAGCTTAAGGAACTAGGTTAACTGGTTATATTCATGACTTAACTTCTCCCACAGTATTATTAAAAAAAAACAAGGTGTTATAGCTGTTTAGATCAAATGCTTGGCTGACATCCACATCCAGTCCCTTATATGCCATATTTCTTCTTTAGCTCTTCTACTTTGTCTATGTAAGCTTTCATGGCATCTTCCTTGGAGGTTCCTGCAAGGGAAGCAACAGGATTACTTGTCAGGGAGGTAGCAGGTAGAAAAGCAGGCTTTGGCACCCCAGACAGTCTCAGTTTTTCACCTGTAAAATGGGGATTCTAGTAATATACCTCAGAGACCCAGCAAGGATTGGACTTAAAAGTACTGAAGAGCATTCCCAAAGTAAATGTGCCAGAAAGCAGAGAGATCATAATCTGAGAGGGAGTGGTCAGCACAAGCTTCCAGAGAAAGGTGTTCCAGACTGGCAGAACATTCAACACTGAAAGTTGTGGTGGCTTTACTGGTCCTGGTGACTCATGCTTGGCTGTGGCTTATCAAGTATTTCTGTGTTGGGATCTCATTTCCACTAGCAGTGACAAAGCAAAGCCAGAGAACTCTCAAACAAGGCTGCTTGTTTTTGAAGAGGAATGAGGCACATCTATCTTCTTGCTATGGTACAAAAGACATGGTCTATCTACTCGAATTGGAGTCCTGGTGTGGTGATGTGGGTTAATGTGCTAGGCTACAAAGTCAGCTTGAACCACAAGTTTGGTGGTTCAAGCTCACCAGTCGCTCCCTGTAAACCCTATATGGGGTTGCCGTGGGTCAGAACTGACTCAGTGACACTTAACAACAACAACAACAACAATACCCAGTTCCTAAGTCTTGGGAGGAGATACCATGGGGACTGGAGACTTTTTTGCAGCCTAGGAGAGTACTCGCAGCCTGAGAAGAGTGTGGAAGTGTCCAGCGAACCCTGACATCAGACAGGCATTCTGCCCCCAGTTACTTGCACATTCTGGGAGTGCATTTATTCTATTCTATTCATGGGATTTTCAGTTGCAGGGAAACAGAAGACTTATTCAGAGACTAGCTAGCGAGAGCACAAAAGCTGGCTGGCATTTTGGTGCCAACTTTTGGGTCTTGCTGCCACAGGTGGCATGTGACTAAATAGAAGCTGGGCTACTTCTTGGTGTTATTGTGCAGCCTATAATGGCTCTCATTCACACTGAGTCTTAGCATGTGCCAGCAGCTTGCCATGCCTTAGCTCATTCCTTCTTTCATGTGCCTGTGAGGTTGGGAGGGAACTGGAGAGGGCACTATGGTTAAAGGGTCACTGCCTGGCCTCATGGGGGAAGAGTAAGGTGGGAGCAGGAAATGAGCTCGTATTCTGAACACGTCCAAAGCCCATTGCCTCCCACTTAATTGTTCAGTGGCCTGACCCTGGTCCCTGAGTCCTGCTGTCTAGCTGATACCACTGATCAGGGATGGTGCTGTGGGAAAAGGCATTAACTAGAAGAAAAGTTGGTGGCCCCACTTTTCCCATTCTTGGCACAAGTCAATCTGGTTTCTAGCATGTGCCTCTTCCCTTTTGTTTTCTCCCTGCCCTCTGTGCATTCCATAGCGAAGAGTCTTTCATTACTGGGCTTCACAGGCAAGGGAAACTGATTAGAACAAGTAATTACCTTTCACGTCATTCCAGGCATCCCACTTGGCCTTTCCTTTGAAGTCCAACATCCCAGGCCGTTCTTAAACAAGAAAGAGAAAGACATCAGACATGCTTTGGTTCTAACAGAGAGCTCTATCAACTTTCTTGTCTTGAAAGACATCTTTTTTTTAAAAAAAACAAATACATAAAGACTTTATTATAAAAAATTTCAAAATCATCAAAAAAGTTGCATGAAAAATTCCTACCAAGCTCTCACCAACCAGCTTCAGTAGTCTGGTTGAGCTATAGTCCTAACCATATTTCTCTCACACTAAATATAACTCTTTAAAATATGATAACCATAATACCATTATTACTTCCCCCAAATCTACCAATTGAATTTACCAATTGAAGTTTACAGTTGGTTAGTTAGAATTGGAGTCCTGGTGTGGTGCTGTGGGTTAATACGCCAGACTGCAAAGCCGTTTGAACTGCAAGGTTGCAGTTCAAGCTTACCAGCTGCTCCTCGGAAACCCTATACGGGGTTGCTATGCATTACTGGAACTGACTTGACGGCACATAACAACAAGAAATTAGAATTGGAATCCAGTCTGGCTGATCTCCCATATCTATCCCTTTATCCATTTAGAGTTTATAATCCCTGTCCCATCTTTTTCTGAACTGAGTGATTCTTTTAGCTAGAGACTGCTCTGATAATTCCCCAGCTTGAGTTAGAGCCGGTGTGTGTGCAGCAGGTGGTCTGTCACTGTTTTCGGCCTCTTCCTCCCCGTGGCGGTGGTTGCAAGGTCCCAACTCTCAACAGTCCTCAGAGGTGAGCAATTGCAGAGATCACTGTGCCCCATCTGGCCTAGTTGGGGAGGGCTTGGTCAGTGTCCCAAGCCTGGGAGAACCAGGCCCAGGTCTCCAGATTGTGAAGTAGCAGGTGGTGGAGAGAGGAATACTGCCTTGTAAATTTGGGGCCCGGGGAGAGGGCAGATGTCTTTGAAGTGGGTCCCTGTGACTTAGAACACTGAGAGGGCTGGGAGGAAGGGAGCTGCCTGAGGCTTTCAAAACTAGGGTGAAGTGGGAGCCTGGGCAATGGAGAGGGGGTTCATTCCTGCAGAGATGGAAACAGCCATTCCCACATTCCATGAGGAAACAGCATGGGAACTGAAGAGTACATGGGGCTTGGGGCCTCCTTTGGGTCTCTGTTGGGCTGTCAGACTCATACCTCTAGGTTCAGTCACGGAGTTAAAATGGTGCTCTGGTAGTGTAGTGGTTACGAATCGGGCTGCGAACCTTAAGGTCAGTGGTTCGAAACTACCAGCCGCTCCGCGGGAGAAAGATGAGGCTTTCTACTCCCGTAAGGATTTACACCCTCGGAAACTCTGTACAGGGTCGCTATGGGTCGGCTCCGACTCGAAGGCACTTAACAACAACAACAACAAGTACAATTAAAAACAAACCCTAAACAAAACCCAACCAGTTGCTGTGGAGCTGATTTTAATTCATGGTGGGTCCATATGTGCAGAGTAGGGTTTCCATGGACGTACCCTTTTGGAGTCCTGGTGGCACTGTAGGAGAAGAACTTGACTGCTAAACGTAAGGTCAGGAGTTCAAACCCACCAGCTCCGTGGGAGAAAGATGAGGTTTTCGTCTCAGGTAAAGATTGACAGCCTTGGAAACCCTATACAGGGTCACTATGAGTGAGAGCTGATTCGAAGGCACCTAACAACCACCACCACCACCACCACCACCTTTTGGAAGCAGACTGCCAAGTCTTTCTTCCCAGGCACCTCTAGGTGGGTAAACCAAGCTTTCAGTTAGTAGCCACATGCTTAATTATTTGTATCAACCACGGATTCCTTTAAGAAACCCAGATGTACAAAAATCCAAATGTAAAATCTAGAGAAATGAGGAGAAAGACGGTTCTTGTTTGTTATAAGGTAGCCGTTGTGGTATAAGTTAAACACTTGTAAAATTTCTCCATTAATTTTTTTAACATTCACATGGCTCAAAATTTAACCACTACAAAAGGGTTACACTTGCCCTCACATACTCAGTTTGTCTCCCCAGTGCATTATTGTTTTCTAGTTGGTGGTGGAGGTCCCTCTTTCAGACTAACTTCTCTCTCCTTTTATCTCTAGTAAGATAAAAGGTGATGAAGACCACACCCTAAGGAGATTCCCCTTATACTGGATCAGGGCTGTGAGCAAATTAAGGGTGTTGCGCATCCCACCTTAATCCTCTTACAAACGATTAGTTTATCACTTCCGATCACATCATGGGGATTACCATATAACTGCCACGTTACGAGGCAAGTTGGTAAACAACCGTAACTATCAGTCTACCCTTTGCCAACTTGGCATTAAACCATATATGGTGGCGGTGGTGTGCCGTGGAGTTGGTTTCATATCATAGCGACCCTGTATAGGGTTTCCGAGGCTGTGAATCTTTTTGGGAGGAACTGGTGACCTTGAGGTGAACAGCCCGACTTGTAACCACTATACTACCAGAGCTCCTTACATAGTCTCTATAAAGACAATGATAAAAATCAAACTTGGGCTTAACATGATACAATCAACACATAAACAAATGAAATCACATTAGCCCCATTTACATTTTATAGTTTATATGTAAAGCAAACAAAAACATTTGTTGCAACCATATAATGAATTACAGTCACATGATCACAGCTGGTCTTTGGAACTACCTTCTTCCACCATCTATTATGTATTTCCATTGCTCTTAGCAAGCACCTTAGTTGGGTCAGTTGATGCAAAACTCTCATTCCTGAAAGGTCTTGGCCATTAATAGTCATGTTGGAATTGGATTGCTGTAGTTTTCCATTGACTTTAATCATAGGGCATGGCAGTGCCAAGAGACATCCTGAGGAGTCTCCTATATTCCAGACACACTCATCTTTACCTCCACTATGTAATATTAACCTGATCACACCAGCCAGTACAGTAAAGAATTTTGTGAGTGGGTTATTAGGGGTAATAGTGAGCGGTGCTACTCCTTTTTCTACCCATTGGATACTGGACCAAAGAATAATGGTTAATGGAAAAACAGCACCATGAATTGGATGGTGATTTAGTATCATACACAGTCTCCTGGAACACACTGCCCCAACTCTGCAAGGTCTTGCCACCTAGCTGGTGCCATAATTGTGTCTTATTAGAAGGCCATTCCCCAATTCTATCAAGCCAGCTGCTTCAGAAAGAGGGAACATGGTAAGACTAGTGAATCCATGAGCCTGGGTTCCTGGCTGCACTTCATTTGTGGTGAAGTTAGTCCTTTGATCTGAGGCAATTCTGTATGGGATACCATGATGATAGATAAGGCAATTTTAAGTTTGCCAATGGTAGTTCTGGCAGAAGCATTATGTACAAAGAAGATAAATCCATATCCAGAGTATCTATTCCAGTAAGAACTTAATGCTGTCCTTTCATGATGGAAACGGTCCAATGTAATCAACCTGCTACTAGGTTGCTGACTGATCACCCCAAGGTATGGCTCCCTATCAAGGGCTCAGTTTTTGTCTCTGCTGTTGGCAAATATTGTAACTCATGTTGCTAAACCCAAGCATAACCTCCACCCCTACACCACCATAGCCACTCTATTCATGAACAATGGCAGGCTAGAGAAAGAGGATGACTGGTTTTCACAGAACAGGTTAGCCTATCCACTTGATTGTTAAAATCCTCCTCTGACGAGGTAACCCTTTGGTGTAACCCATGAGGCACAAATATCTTAATTTCTTTGGTCCATTTAGAGATGTCTCCATATACCTCTTCCCCATACCTACTTGTCACCAATTTTCCAATCATGTTCCTTCCAAGTCCTTGAGCATTCAGACAAATCATTGGTTAGAGCCAATGAATCCGTATACAATTGAACACTGGCCATTTCTCCTTTGGAGCAAAGTGAACAACCAGGTGCACTGCTTGAAGTTCTGCCCATTGGGAGGGTTGCCCTTTACCACTGTTCTGCTGCTGCTGTCCACACTGATGGTGCCTGCATATTGTGCAGAACCACCTGTAAACTGGGCCTGCGTTTTCTCTTTCTCAGTGAACTGATCAGAAGGAACTCCCCATGAGGCCATAGGTACAGACTGGAAGAAGGAAGGCAATGTGAAAAGAGTGGAGACTATGAGCATTTGGACCACATCCTCATGCCTGTACTGTGCCTTCAGATCCTGCTCGGACCTGATCTTGTCTATACCACTTCCATGAAATGATGGAGTGCTGCTGTGCACGTCCAACTTTAGGACCCTGGGCTAGAAGACACCCAATTCATGCTGGTCAGCTCAGGTGGCAGGGTGACTTGGTGACCCTTAGTTACTCAGTCTCTAAGATCCAATAACAAGCCAAAAGCTGAATCTTAAAGAAGTGTAGTTACCTGCAGGGGATGGTAGGGCTTTGCGCCTAAATTCTAAGGGTCTGTGCTATGATTCACTAATAGGGACCTGCCAAAGATTCCAAACAGCATCTCTATCTGTCAATGACACTTTAAGCACCATTAGAACAGTTGGATTATATAGCCCAAGTGGAAGAGCAGTTTGTAAGGCAGCCTGAACCTGTAGCAGAGCCTTCTCTTGTTTTGGGGCCTACTCAAAACTAAGGAGTGCACACAATAAAACATTAAAAAAAAAAACCCAAAAAACTAAGGAGTGCACTGGCTCTGTAGGATAAGCACTGGACTGTGAACCACAAGGTCAGCAGTTTGAGCCCACCAGCTGTTCCATGGCAGAAGGATGAGGCTTTCTTCTCTCAAAGATTTACAGCCTTGGAAACCCTTTTCAAGGTTGCTATGAGTCTGAACCAACTTCCTGGCACTTTAACAACAACAAAACTAGTAAGACCTTCAGTGAGATGAAATGACACAGTGGCAACAACAATGGGCTTAAACATAACAATGGTAGGATGACGCAGGACAGGGTAGTATTTTGCTCTGCTGTTCATACGGCTGCTATGAGTCTGAATGGACTTGACGGCACCTAACAACAACAAACACTTCCCCCTTTCTAGGAGAACAGAGAGTTTATAAACATAGTGTCAAAATCATCTTTGCTATAAAATCTTTCTCAACTAAGGGCTCCCTGTGGATCCTAGAAGTTGATTAGTCATTGCATGTGGTCGTTAGCTCTGGGCACCAGCTCCTGTTTCCTGGGTCTAGCAGCCAGTCCACATCTTAACAGAAGTGAATCTAGGGTGGGATTCATTCTACCCTGCCATGATAGTCAACTCTGGGAAGGCAATGTTGTTGCTTCAGCTTACTCCCACATTTCAGGATTTAAGGGACAGAATGAAAACTGCTCAAAGCAGTGAAAACAATACTCTGGACTCAAAATTTGTACCAAGATTTTTTGATATGGAACAAATAGTCATTAAGAAGGTACATACTGTTGTCAGCAAAAACTCTCTGGTGTGCCGCATGAATGAAGCCAGCTTAGTCTCTGCTCCTGATGTAAGGCACGGCTGATGGCTGCCAAATATTTCAAGGCTTATCCTGCTTACGTTGAACATACAGCCAACAAACCTACTACTGAGGTAAGAGCTTGGAGCAATCTCATCAAAGTTAGGGTCTTGTTTCCTCTTCCATAAATTCCTGACAATCAGGATTTGAATTCTGCTACCTGATCTATAGAGAAATAGTATAGGGTCTGGAAACATGGTCTTCAAATAACCTGTCCCAGATTAAAGCCTAGCAAGCCTATGGATAGCCACCGGACCTGATGCCAAGAATAGGACTTTGGCAAGTTTCAGCACTGAGATTCCCATAGATAAAGGGTTCTAGCACCCACTCACGGCTGCTGAGTCACTTGGTAAAAGTCTGCTTTGATGAGCAGAGGCCCTCCCAACGAATCTCAGCATACCTGTGTTTACATCACCCACGGTTGCTTGTTTATAGCGGCTGTAGATGAACAACATCTCATCATCAGCTGGTTTGGCCTTGAGGTTCCTAACCTCTTCGACAGCTTTGTCAAACTCAGCCTAAACAAAGTGAGAGAAAAGGAATGTAAGCCTCCTCTGGGAGTTGTCAGGAGAGGAGTCCTACCTTTCACCCCCTGCACAGGGCATAGAGAAAAGAGGGGAAGCACATCATTCACTCATTCAATCCTGATAACAAAATGTCATAGTCCTCACTATTCCAGGCACCAGAAGTCAAGGAGGCAGGCTGAGACTATCCTCAGTGGGAATGCCCCTGACGGGGAAGGCAGCATAGACAAGTGCAGTGCCCTCACCAGGGGATGGCCAGGGTCCCACGATGCCCTGATTCGTGGTTGAGGGTAGCACACGTGCTTGAAACAACAGAGAAGGTGGCAGGGCATGAGTGCAGCTCTATCAGCCTTTGGAGTCAGCTGATCCCCTCCTCTAGGGTCTGGGGCATCCAGTGCTGACCTTTGTTCTAGTGATCCGAATGGAAAGAGGCGGGACGAACTAGCGGTCGCCCCACATAGCGCGATTCCAGCGAAAGTCAAGACCTCTGGGTCACCACTCCCGGGGCCGTGTGCCTGCTCTCCCCTGACCTCCAAGCGCCCCACCACAACCCCCCAGCTTTCCACTCCCACCGTGGTGCCCCGGTCTTACCCTGTCTTCCCGGGCGGTGGATAGGGCCCCTTGGCTCTTTTGAGCCACGCAACTCCCCCAACGCCCATATTTTTTACCCCCCTGGGGAACTTTCCAGCAACTGCGGGGTGGGCGGCCGTGTGGAGAATCCAACACAGGAAGTTTGGCTCACAAGGCTCTACTGTAAGGGTCAGAGCTGGGCAGGGGTCCAGAAGAACTGCGGGGTGTGGGAGAGAAAGACTGCCTCTTTCTGCTTGTGGATGATCCCCAAACAGACCTCCCGCTCCATCGCGCCCCTCCAGATTCCTTGTGCAGTCGTTGTACCTGAGACATGCCGGCGGGGTGGCAAGGATTCCAGAGAGCCCTCGGAGTGAAAGGAGAAGGAAGAGGTAGCTTTAAGTCCGGACTGGGAGCCGGTTTACCAGCGCAACCCAGTACTTTCTAACTCTGCTCGGGCGAGCGCCCAATAGCCAATCAGGGAATAGTTCTCCTCTGGGGGCGTGTCCATACCGGGCAGCGGGTGTCTGCCACATTCCGTCCCACGTGGGCCAGCCGCGCACGCGCATGGAGGTGCAGAAGAGGACGTCGGGAGCTAGTGGAGACCGCGGAAGTATGGAGACTGATCGTGAGGGCTTGATTGTACGGAGTGGGGTTCAGTCTTGGATCGCTGTAGACGGGCGGAAGGAGCAGTCCGGGCAGAGTGGAGGTGGAGTCTGAGGAATAGAGAATTTTTAGTTTGTTTCAGTAAATCTAATGGCCAGCGTGAGGGTGTTGAAAGTTGCATTTCTGGACAAGTAACCTCAGGTTTTCGGTGGCGAGTGGGTGCTGTCCCTCTCGCTGATCTGAAAATGCTGTTGGTTTGGTGGGAAGTTGGACTGATCTCTAGAAAGGCAGAGGCCGAAACCTCCTGCTGTGCACTCCTGACACGTTATTTGCCCTTCTTAATGCCTTTGTTTTCAGTTGTTTGTTGCTCATTCCTGTGTCTAGTGCACCTCTGCGTCCGGCGCGTTAAAGGATGCACACACTGTCTTGCTTTCCAAGTTTGACCAGGAACAATACATGCTCAGCATACACTAACTAGTTAAATGGATGACTTTTATTTATAAACGCACTGGAGATTCACCAGTGAGCCCCTTTCCAGTACTAAAGAAATAAAGAGCAAAACATTCAGGCAAAATTAATGGCCCTCAAATATAAGCTAAAATTTATTTAGTCAAATTATATCCCAGACACTAGCTTGTTAGCATTTATGTTACAGTCTGAATGTCATCACAGTTCTCTAAAGTTGAGAACCTCAGTAGTGAACCTCACGGACTACTGTAATAGATGTAAGATCAGGGCTGAACTTGAACTGCTAACCCCAGAGTTGGTGTCGGTGGTTCGAACCTACCAGCTACTCCTCAGAAACCCTATACAGGGTCGCTATGAGTTGGAACTGACTTAAGTGTACTTAACAACATGGTATTTAGAATGGGGATGGTGGTTGTGTGCCACAGAGTTGGCTCTGACTCATAGCGACTTTGTATAGGGTTTTTGTTGTTGTTAGGTGCCATCTAGTTGGTACCGACTCATAGTGACCCTATGCACAAAAGAACGAAACACTTCCCAGTCCTGGGCCAACCTCACCATTGTTGCCATGCTTGAGCCCATTGATGCTGCCACTTTGCCAATCCATCTCGCTGGTGGTCTTCCTCTTTTTCTCTGATCCTCCACCTTACCAAACGTGATATCCTTCTCCAGTGACTGGTCCCTCCTGACAATATGTCTGAAATATGAGAGATGAAGTTTGGCCATCCTGTCCTCCAAGGAACACTCTGGCTGTGCTTCTTCCAGCACAGATCTGTTGGTTCTTTTGGAAGTCCATATTTCCAAATTTCCTAGATTCATACTTTGTACATTCCATATTCCAATTATTAATGGATGTTTACAGCTTTTTCTCTTTTTTTTGAGTTGTACCCCATCAGCAAATGAAGGTCCCGCAGGCTTTACTCCCACGAGCTTTACTCCATTCACGTCATCACGCTTAAGTCTACTTTGAGGAGGCAGCTCTTCTCCAGTCACATTTTGAGTGTTTTCCAACCTGAGGGGCTCATTTTCCGGCACTTTATCTGACAGTGTTTCTCTGCTATTCATAAGGTTTTCAGTGACTAAATATTCGTCTTTCTTCCTAGTCTGTCTTCATCTGGAAGCTCATCTGAAACTTGTCCACCATGGTGATCCTGCTGGTATTTAAAATACCCATGGCATAGCTTTCAGAATCACAGAAACTCACAAGCCACCACAGTGTGACAAACTGATAGATGAGTGGTGGGTATAGAGTTTTGTTCTGTTGTTAGGTGCCATCGAGTTGGTACTGACTCAGCGACCCTGTGCACAGCAGAACAAAACACTGCCTGTTCCTGGGCCAAACTCACTATTGTTGCCATGCTTGAGTCCATCGATGCTGCCATCTGGCCAATCTATCTCATTGGGGGTCTTCCTCTTAGGGTTTTAGAGGCTGTAAATCTTAGGAAGCAGAAAGCCTCATCATTTTCCCATAGAGTGGCTGATGGATTCAAATTGTTGGTCTTACAGTAAGCAGCCCAGTTAGTATTCCACATCACTACCAGGTATCCTTTCAATGGGGATATTAGGTAATAAAATAAGTTTGTTAGAGGGGGATAGTGTGTTGGAAGTTTACAGTTTTTAATGGGAGGGTCAGGAAGGTAACATATGAGGAGCCCTGAAGGAAGTGGAGGGAAAATTCCAGGCAAAGAACTAGGTAAATGTTGTTCTGCTGCACGAAGCACAAACTGCTGTAAAAAACAACTGAGATTTCTTTCAGATGAACCGTACAGTGGAGCAATATTAAAGGGAGAGAGAAAGCCACATAGTCATTGTAATGAGGGGAACCAAGTGTCCACAGATAGAACTCAGAGTCCTACCCGTGGGAAGTTGCATGTCTCTTTTGTAGTTTTGTGGGCAATGCTTGTTCCTGGCCATTGGTCAAAAATGAGGTAGGGAATAAATGCCAAGTGATCTAGACAAAGCTGAGAAGGAAGAGTTTTTCTGATATAGGGCCTACCCAATATTTTGAAAAAGCTCTTTGGCATGATTTCTTCTTCCTCTCACTTCCTATTGATCTTTTTCTGTAACTTCATGTGAAAATGCTGCCTTAAGTGATCCACTTTGCATTTCTACTTTAGAGAACTGTGCTGACATTCAGATTTTGACATAAAGAGATGCTAACAAGCTAGTGTCCAGGATATAATTTGACAAAATAAATCTTAGCTTATATTTGGGGTCAGTTAATTGCCTGAATTTTTTGCTCTTTATTTCTGTGGTGCTGGAAAGGATAAGGAGCTCTGATAACGTAGTGGTTACGAATCGGGCTGCAAACCTTAAGGTTAGCAGTTCTAAACTACCAGCTGTTCCACAGGAGAAAGATGAAGCTTTCTGCTCCCATAAAGATTTACAGCCTCGGAAACCCTGTACAGGGTCACTATGAGTCGGAACCGACTCCATGACACATAACAATAACAACAACCACAACTGGAAAGGATAATTTCTCTTCATAATCTGGAGAATGTGCATGATTCTCAGTGCTGTTTTTGTTGTTGTTGTTTTTAGCAATAATTATGCTTTGCAGTTACTCTAATTTTAGTGAAAATTATTTAAAATAATATTTTAACTATTTTTGAATATTATTGTTAAATGCTGTTCAGTCAGTTCCAACTCATAGTGACCCTGGTTAACAAGGCTTTAAATCTAAGAGGGAACAGACTCATCTTTCTCCAGTCAAGCAGCTGGTGGGTTTGCAGTCCAGTGCTTGTCGTATGGAGCCACCACCCTCCCTGTTGAGGGATGTTGTTAAGTGCCGTGGAGTCATTTCCGACTCACAGCAACTCTTTATAAGGAATAGCTGGTGGGTTTGAGGCGCCAACCTTCCAGTTAGTAGTCCAGTGCTTATCTTTTCAGTACTACACCAGGACTCCAAGTTTAATGCCCTAGCCATCTTTCCCATATCATCAAGGGAGGATAGGGGTCACTGTTACTGGCCAGTGCTCTATCTTAGCACTTCTTAGGCATTCAAGAAATGGTGTTGAATGAATGGAGAAAGTGTTTTCCTGATAAAGTTTGCTCTTGATTAGCTATGAACATGGAAACCAAGTAAGTTTGTTAGAACTGAATGTGAAACAATGGGCTTGAGTAAAGTAGACGAATTTTGGTGCAGAAACTACGTAATCACTTTGAAGCACTCCAGCTGGGTTAAGGTAAGATGGGAAACTTGACCAGCCAACATGAAAGCCAAGATGACTGTGGCCACCAATGAGAAGCCCTTGTCATAGTCTCAGATCACCCTCACATCTTTGGAATACCAATTTTGACTACTCACAAGCCTTCATTTGCCAGACAAGCAAAGCAAATAAACAGAAAGCAGTTGCTACCAAGTGAGTGTGAATAATTGGTTAATATTAGATTTCCAAACCTGTAATTTTAAAAAGTAACCTAATCTTCAAAAAATGGGCTACAGTTACAACGAAGCTTTAGTACTATAGGTCAAGGTTAGAACATGCACAATGACCAATTCTGTATTATTTCCCAGTTTCTTAGAATGTGGCTCTTGTGGCAGGACTCCAGCAAAGGATGGGGGGAGACTAATGTGTTGAAAAGGAAGGAAGCCGATAAATATCGCTTCCAGGATGGAGTGGGGAGTGGTAGAGTCTAAGAGGCACAACTGGGCAGTGTTTTGTTCTGTTACACATAAGGTCACTGTGAGTCAGAACCAACTCGATGGCACCTAACAACAATAAGAGAAGTAAGAGCTGGGAATAAGAAGACTACGTGGATAGGTTTAGAGAGGTTACCCATCTATTGCTGTCAAGTTGATTCCAATTCATTGTGACCTAAGGACAGACTAGAACTGCTCTGTAAGATTTCCAAGACTGTAAATTTTACAGGAGCAGACTTTTCTCCCACGGAGTGGCAGGTGGATTCAAACTCTGACGCCAGGTCTCCTTAGAGTCTAGGGGTAAGAGCTGGGAATATGAGGTGGCTTCAAAAAGTTCATGAAAAAATCTTATCTTTTCATTCCAATTTCCCATGAATTTTGTTTGAAGCCCCATTGTAAGAGTATTTTTTCTACTTGGCTTGATTTCTTTACCTTTCCTTTTTCATTCTCTTTTTTGCTTTCCTGAGTGCATAACTGTAGTGAGGGGTGGCCTGGCAACTGATGGCCTTTGTCTGCCAGCCTCTCCCCTCCCCTATCTCCCCCTTCTCACGGATGCTCATATACAGAGAAGTTGCAGTAGGTTGAGCATGAGAAAAGAGTGAACATATGTGCTCCGCTGCAG